GTGTTTATTCACTATGCTAAGGCATTTGACAATGTGCATCATAGCAAACTACAGATAGCCTTGAGAAGAATGATAATTTCAGGACATCTAATGATGTTCCTGCAGAACTTGTACATGAATCAAGAGGCACTTGCTTGACTAGAACAGGAGAATAATGCATGGTTTGAAATTGGGAAAGGTGTACATCAGGGTTGCATCCTTTCACCATATGTATTCATTCTATATGCTAAACAAATAACCAGAGAAGCTGGATTGTATGAAGAAGAGGGTGGCATCCGGATTGGAGGAAACCTTGCTTGTTGAAAGTGAGGAGGACTTGAACCACATACTAATGAAGATCAAGGATTGCAGCATGCAGTATGCATTACAACTCAAAGTCAAGAAGACAAAAATCCTCACAAATGGTTCAATAGGTTATATCATGATAAGGCTGAAGATAAATTATAAAAAAATGAAGTTGTCAAAGATATCATCTCGCTTGATTCCACAATCAATGCTCCTGAAAGCAGCAGCCAAGACATGAACTGATGTATTATATTGGTTAAATCTGCTGCACAAGACCTTTTTAAAGTGTTGGAAAACAAGGAGGTCACTTTGAAGACTAGGGTGCACTGGACCCAGGTCATAATATTTTCAATTTCCTCATATGTGTGTGAAAGTTGGACATTGAATAAGAAAAACTGAAGAATTGATATAATGCTAGTAAAGAATATTGAAAGTACCACGGACTGCTACAAGAGCAAACATCAGTCTTGGAAGAGTACAGCCAGAATGCTTCTTAGAAGCAAGGATGGGGAGACTTTGTCTAAAGTACTTTGTACATGCTATCCGGAGAGACCAGTCCCTAGAGAAGGACATCATGCTTGATGGGGCCGCAAGAAAATGGAAGACCTTTGTGTTAGGCAGTGTTCTCTAGAGAAACAAAACCAGGACACTTCTGGAAAAAAATATATAAGGAGAGGTTTATACAGCAAAAAGGAATATAACAGCTAATTAATCCACACAGCAGTACA